AATTTGTTAGTGTTGTTGAGTTTAATCTAGAACAGCCAGGTGCTGGAAACCTAAGAGGGAGCTCAGATTCAAGGGAAGGAAAGCTAGTAAAAGGAAGAAGGGTAGTAAGCATAAATAGAAGGCAGATGAAGAAATTACAAGTATCAAAGAGGATCAAAAGGGGAATAATGTATAAAAGGCTGAATTAAATGTACCTGCCTGAATGCAATGCGCATTTGCAAAAAGGTTGATGATTAGAATGCACACATTGAAGGATATAGATCTGATTTAATTGTTTATATGGAGATGTGGCTACAAAGGTAACTGAGATTGGAAACTAAACATCCTAGGATATTCTACATGTAGGAGCTATAGACAAAACAGAAAGGAGGTGGTGTACGTTACTGAGAGAAGATCTTCAATTGAAAGATGAAGATGCACTATCAGTTTCGGTGGAGCTAAGAAACAGAAAAGGGAAGTAAAGACTCAGGGAAGATATTTAAAGAACACCAAACTCTGTACTAATGTTTAGCACGTTAGAAATCAACAAGTTAGAGATTCATATAATGTGGGTAATATAGTAACATTGGGCAACTTCAGCTTGCATATATACTGGGTAACAAAGTAATGCTGTGGAGGATGAACTCCTAGAGTGTATAGGAGATTGGTTCCAGGAACAGTATGTTAAGCTGCCAACTAAGGATCAAATTGTTCTTGGTTTAACGTTATATAATGTGAAAGTGCTAAATTAGTAACATTGCTGTAAAGGAGCCTTTGAGAAATATCATATATACTTTTGTAAAAGTCAAATGTTTTAGACTATTTTTAAGGTTAAATTTATGGGGTCGACCATTACATGGATGCTACTTTTGAGTGGCTGAAATTCAAGCCCGTCAAAATTCATGCAATATCATTAGCAGAAGCCCAACTGATCTCTAAAGAAATAAAGAGAAAAAAACAACAAATTACGGTAATTACCAGATAAAGACAATACAAACAAAAATGAATTAGTAATTAGTCCATCTGCCTTTTCTTGTTTTTTCTTGTTATTCTATCTTATTTTCGAAAACAACTTACGTGGAGCGGCAATGACATCAAGAATCCAGAATGGAGCAGGCTGAAGACCCGGAGTGGGACGGCCAGCGGGATGGAGACCCGGAGTGCAGCGGGACGGCCAGCGGGACGAAGACCCGGAGTGAGATGGCTAGCAGGATGGAGACCTGGAGTGGAGCGGGACGGCCAGCGGGATGGAGACCCGGAGTGGAGCGGGACGGCCAGCGGGATGGAGACCCGGAGCGGAACGGGACGGCCAGCGGGATGAAGACCCGGAGTGAGACGGCCAGCGGGATGGAGACCCGGAGCGGAGCGGGTCGGCCAGCGGGA